GATGGGACGGAGAGGGAGCGTCGCGGGTGGCGGGTGGCGGGTGAGGGGGGGTGTTAAGGCGAGCGAGCGACGAGGAGTTAGGCGACCACAGCTGGGGTGAGGAGAAGAGTGGAAGAGAGAAGGGTGGAGAGGAAGAGGAGGAGGAGGAGGAGGGGGGGTTCCATTAGTCTCGAAGTCATTCAGTTAGCAGTTTTTCATATATACACCGCGGATATTTTATTCGGAACTGTTATTTTTGCAATCAGATGGACATGCCTCTCAGAGGTTTCCTACCTGCTCTGTTAATTTCTAAAATCTCTTCCTGTGCCAGGGGGCAAGTGTCGCTCTGTGTGCTGTGGTGCGGAGAGTTAACGCCCGACTTACAGTAATTGGGGGAGCCCAGCTGGGGAGGCCTTGGGATGTGTTTGTTTTTTTTCTTTGGTAGCTTCTGCTTAGCCATGGCCAAGGAGTAGTACATTCCGAAGTTGTTGACGATGACGGGCACGGGCATGGCGATGGTCAGCACGCCCGCCAGGGCGCACAGGGCGCCCACCAGCATGCCCGACCACGTCTGGGGGTACATGTCCCCGTAGCCCAGCGTCGTCATGGTCACCACGGCCCACCAGAAGCCGATGGGGATGTTCTTGAAGTGCGTGTGCTCGCTGGCCCGCGGGTCGTTGGGCTTGGCCCCGATGCGCTCGGCGTAGTAGATCATGGTGGCGAAGATGAGCACGCCCAGCGCCAGGAAGATGATGAGCAGCAGGAACTCGTTGGTGCTGGCCCGCAGGGTGTGGCCCAGCACTCGCAGGCCCACGAAGTGCCGGGTCAGCTTGAAGATGCGCAGGATGCGCACGAACCTCACCACGCGTAGGAAGCCCAGCACGTCCTTGGCCGCCTTGGAAGACAGGCCGCTCAGCCCCACCTCCAGGTAGAAGGGCAGGATGGCCACGAAGTCGATGATGTTGAGCGTGTTGCGGATGAACTCCACCTTGTCCGGGCAGAAGGTGATGCGCATGAGGAACTCGAAGGTGAACCACACCACGCACACGCCCTCGATGTAGGTCAGGTAGGCCACCGTCTCGGTCTCCTCGTAGACGCGCTCCATCGTGGTGTTGTCCACCTGCTCCATCTCCGTCCGGTTGGTGATGGGGTTGAAGGCCTCGTGCGTCTCCAGGCAGAAGGTGGTGATGGACACCAGGATGAAGAACAGCGAGGCGAACGCCACCCACTGCAAGAGAGGAGGAGGAGGAGGGAGAGGGTGATCATTAATAATACCTCCTTACACTTGTATAGCACTTTCCTGGACACTCCACTCAGAGCTCTTTACAGGTCATGGGGATCCCCTGCACCCCCACCAGTGTGCAGCCCCCCCCTGGATGATGC